AGTATAAAGGGAAACTTTTTGCTTTGATGTTATTGTTTTACTCATTTTAATTTATTTTTGCTTTAAGGCCATGTGTGGGTGTGCTTGAAAGTAAAAAAGAAAAAGCAAAACACGTATCCTCAGGGATACTGCACAAGGTAAAATAAGTTTTGGCGAATGGGAAAACTTAAAATAGAAAACAACATTAATTAGCAGGTTGTTCTGATCTGGCACTCCTGATTCTCTAAAATTAAAAAAGTAAGTCATTTTAGTTCAACAAAGTTCCATTTCAGATCATCATACGTTATCAGAATGACAAAGGATCCTCATAATGCCACACTGTCTCCTTTATTTGATCATGAAAATCAGTGAAACTTAGATTTGAGCCTGAAATGGCACAAGTAGTCATCTGTTCCTGCTCTAGTTCTTGAGGGGTCTGCCAGAATCTCCCGAACCTCAGTTTGCTCTGCCTTTTGTTCTGCCTGTTTCCTCCGGATGCCTCACAAGAAGATAATAAAAAATGTCTAACCTTAACCAGGCAGGATGAGGGGATTTTGAAGCGGGGTGGGGTACTCATGGCATTTGTGTTTTTTAGAATGATCTGGGTTTTGTTTTATCTTTGTTTATGGTTCATCAGTTTTCCAAGCCTCACTTCCTGTTTTATTTTGTAGGAGCTGATTGTGGTTACTGGTCGCTAGCTTCTTCAGATTAGTCTTGTCTTGTTTTGCATTGAGTGTTTTGAACTACAGTTTGTCAATAAAGTTGGTTTGAACCCTGATTTTCCCACCTGCCTGCACTAATATCACAGTTAACAGAGATCATCACCCACCTGGCAGCGACGTATAACGTCCTGTTCATGATCATGATGAGTTGGATGTCCAGTTTGTGCCGCTGCGTGTTGTTYCTTCCAGGTTTGTGGCCCACGAATGCTGGATACTGTTTTGTGTCTGTAAAAAAAGGAGCAAGAACCTGTAGTATAAACTTGCAGACATTTCACAGCTTTTCTCAATCTTCGAGTGGACTTTGGTCAAATGTAAACCCATGTGTCCTTGCTGGATGAAAAGCTACAGCCACAAAACTGTGGGCTGAGCTCTGTCATGCAACAGCTTGTCAGATATAAATATGCTACACTGTATTGTGGCTTTGCTCTATTGTCRGTGGCTTTAGATGAAAGCGTGTGGTTTCAGGAAATAGTCTGAGGTGCGCAGGTTTGCATGAGGCTGGCTGGCTTGTGTTTTATGTCTCCAGGCCAGGACATACAGCGTTTACACCCACAGAGGGAAGAACAAGACAYGATCAACAGAAATATACAGAAGAAACAATGACCGTATCTTTGCAGCTTTCCAGAGCCTACGCTATCACGTAGAGCACAAGTAGCCTGACAGAAAAACAGCAGATTATCCTTTGATGTGAGGTGGGCTCTGTTTCAAATGCTGCCTTAAGTCCTTTATTACAGTCTGTGTATAGAAGGCCTATCCTTGGGTGCCAATTTGGACTCCGTGCCATGAGAATGCGTTCRGCTTGGGGAACGGTATAGGGCTTGTAGAGGAGGGAAGGGTTGAGAGGGATGTGGAGAAGCAAAAAGGATGGAACAAATGAGACAGATACTGAGAAGGAGGATCTGTAAAGCAGGAGACAAAAGGGGGGGAGTGAAAGCAGAGTGACTACTTGTAATGAGAGGAAGAACAGCACCCAAGTGGAGCCAGTGAAAAAGGGAAGAGAAGCAGGCRGGAGGAAAGAGAAAGCTACACTTACAGTTTCCATGTGAGATGCTAATAGGCTCGCTGTCCTCAGGGAAGCCCGCCCCGGCTATTTGCAGCAGCGTGAAGTAGAGTACCAAGGCCTCTGACCTCATGGTCGCACCAACACTGCTGCTGCTGCTACTGCTGGTCCTCTGCTAAAGATTTGGCTTAGCCTGTACAAGGAGACACAAGTGGAAGACAATGATGAGATGAAGGAGAAAAAAGGGGGTTGAAAAGCCACTCTATCGACTGCAGAATCATTACATCCTCCGTTTGATTTCTTGAAACAAAGAAATGGAGAAAACAAGGGGGGAGAGCCCCGAAAAATTCAATTAGTTCTTTGCGCATTTTTGCATCGGCCTGTTTCWGTCGATCAGAGATTTATTTATATGCGCTTTCGATGAGTCAAGTAAGCCACGGACCTAGTGAAGCCAAATTAATTGGATTAGGGATGTAATATGCGTCATAGATCGATGTCAGACAGAGGAGATCTCTGTGCCTCGCCCCCTCCTTCCTCATGTACTGAAGGAGAGCTCTTGTTAAGATTAACCTGCTGCAGAGTATCAGCTGTGTGTGAAGAGGAGGCTGGACAGCACCTTATTTCCCACCCGCCTGCCTCTTACAAGGGTGGCAATCCTGTGTCCCAAATCTGTGCATCAGAGTAGATCTGAGTCTGGATAACACTTGACTTTACCACAGCAGTGATTTAACAGCCGCCTGGAGGGCTGCACTTTCCTTTGGTTCCTCTCACTCGCATTTGCATTTCCCTTGTTTTTTAACGCACTGTTCTCAATCAGCAGACAAGGAGGCAGCACGAAAATGGTAGGCTTTTGGATCAGTTCTTCAACTTTAAAGTTTTGTAAAGAAAAACAAAACATTTCTCAGAGGTTTAACCTTCACTGCACCACGCTTCAGTTCTTTGACGACCCAGCCATAAAAGACTTCTCTCTTCCATATTTATGTCTTCATCAGGCTTCAGTATTGCCATGAAGTGAAAATTTGAGTGCAAATGAAATTTCCGACACGAAAAATGGTTAAATTGCACTTTTTTTCTGTCAAAACTTGCATAAATTTGCATCATTTTCCACTTCCGAGACCTCGAGATCAAACCGTGGTTCAAAATGTTTAAATTCTCTTCCCTCATAAACTCTAAAAGTTTCCTCAAAAGAAAGTTGAATGATTCTTCAGAACTGACACTGACTGTAGTTTTGGTCAAGCTTTAAAAATAATGACTGCAATTTTACGAGATTTTACTCTCAGAATGTGTGTTAGGAACGACTCACATCTACTACCACGTCAAATTTGACCTCATCTGTAGAGTTTGTGTTGGCCAAAGTCATTTAGCTGTGGCAGCCATCTTTAATTGATAAGATTCTAATGGTTAAACTGTTGTAGATGAATATTTCAAAATTTCTTAACCATTTTTGTTGTTTTAAAGTCAGTTGGATTATCTTTTTAAAAAAAGTTAATCACTTTTTAAAGTACGCACCATGACTATTTTGTGAAAGTTTCATTAAAATCCTTCCAGTGATTCAGGAGATATTTTGGAAACAGGCATGCACTCATACATACAAACAGAAGCAAAAACTTTATTATCCAACTTCACGTTTTGGCAATGGACAAATAAAAAAAAATCTTCTCAGCCTCGACAATCATATTAACGTCTGAATTACAAAAAAAAAGACAAATCGCTGAAATTTAAAACTGATACTTCATCATTCTTTAATCTTCTAATGGGACTGTAAGTGTCGAAGCAGGTTTTATTGCAAATGGCCGACACAGATTTGATGTAATGTTTTCATAGCTCAAAATCAAGGCAACTGAGCTCTGCTCGCTGCAGTTTGTGGCAAACAATTACACCCATAAATCATCCAGGACAATTATTGCATCTGTAATCTAATCAAGAATAAAGCATTTAATTTGCATGAAGCACCTTCCATTTTTCTGGGCCGAAGCTGCAGGGCTGAGATGCAGCCGGGTAGATAGATTAAGGGGGGTGGGGGGGCTTCAGGGATGAAGAACTGAATAAAACAGTCGATTTCATTTGCTCCAGCCTGATAAAAGTTGTTTATCCCATGCTGTATTTTCATTCGCTATTGTATATCCGGGGGGAGAAGGAACAGGAGAGAGGAAGGAGGAGGAGGGGTTACTTTCTCTTTTCTCTGTCATGTCCCTCTAACCCTCTCTTCCCCCATCTTTCTTTCTCCCTCCATGCTCCTGTGAATCTCATTCAGGAGAGGAATGAAAACACTATTCACTGGTAGATTCATTTTAAAACTGAGGAGAATACCAATATCGAAGTTTGGATACAACCTTGATCTCAAAAGCTTCTCCCATCCCCTCCATCCTTTCTCGCTCGCTGGCCTTCTTTTCTCATCCTGACAAGTGTGCCTTCTCTAACCATAGGTTTTATGGAATAATAATAATAAAAGTGGACTTTTTTCACCTTTAACTTACACGTCAACTGAGCTGTACATTTAAACTTTCTCCAAACTGTAAATAGAAATTGGATTTCTCTTATACAGTAGGTTAAGYCTCTATGGAGGGTTAAAACTGGGAGTCTTTTCCGAACCTTGACCCAGAACTCTTGCAGTAATTGACTGATTGATGAGCAGAAAGCAGCGTAAGAAAGAGAGGTTAGCCCCGAGGGAGAGAAAACAGTGAATGATGGATAGAGGWTGCACTGACCAACAAAACAAGATCCGCCTCAGTGCAGCCTAATAAAACGGGGATAAATCCAAAACGGTACTTTTAAACGTAATCGAATCATGTCACGATAATAAAAAAAAGGCAAATACTTCGATTTTCATGGATATTTTTTCTGGCAATCTATTGTGACTGAAGGCGCAGCCAATCTTCCACCTGCATCAGTGGATTTTAATTTGATGCTAAAACACWTCATCTCCCGTGATGCACAAAACAAATTGAGCACAAAATGACTTAAGTGAAACCTCCACACCTTCCAGCGGCCCTTTCATTACCAGCCGCAACACGTGAGCGAGAGGATGGAGCAAGACGCAGTAGGTCTTTACCGAATTACACAGTTTGCGTGGATGAGCAAATTGCTTCCTTGTGTGGAAGTGTGACTGAGTGTTTCAGGCCCTGATCTAAAATGCTACTTTTGCGCAGCGGCGTTTAGACACTCACACACGCTGAACATCAGGATTCAGGAGTTGAGATATGCACTTCAATGATAAATTATCCAAAAATAAAAAATAAATAAAATAAAAAATACAGAACGGACGAAGAAATGTGTTGATTTCCGATCCTGAGGGCAGCTTTTACTGAATGTGATAATAATAAAAAAAAAAACATTTAAGGCCCAGCACTTCTCCAGGGAATTGAATTCTCCCAACAACTTCTTGCAAGTTTTAAACTAGGATCATTTTGTGTTGGAAATAAAACTTGGGGCTGTTTTGGCAAAACCTTAAAGGTAACATTTAATGCAATGTCATGCAATATCTTGAAATATCAGAAGGTGAGTGTTCCATGACATCAATTTTTCGATCGATATCTATAAAACAGACTGACTAATACCCCTTTTTGTGTTTCATAAGTTCATTTGGATTAGAAATTACTTCATGGAGTAATCAGCTTTTTCAAAGAAAGTTTCATTTAACTCTGTCTAGAACAACGGTTCTCAATTTTGGTCCWCATGACCCACTATCCTGCACGTTTTAGTTGTTTCCCTGCTCCTCTGCAGATCTATAAGTTCTGCAGAAGCCTGTCAATCACTCATTCATTTAAATCAGGTGTGCCAAAGCAAGGTAACCACTAAAGCATGAAGGACAGTGGGTCACGAGGACTGGAATTGAAAACCACCGGTCTAGAGGCTCATGAGATATTTTGCCAACAGACAAACAAGGTAGACACCAACAGGTTATGCTAAAGTTTTAAACGAAGGTCTTCCTCCGTGGCTGTGTCGCAACTAAGGGGTTGCAGCCCATGTTGCGTGCATTTGTAGGCCAGTTATGTCACTTCGTAGGCGTCTACTCAAAATCCCAACAAAAGCCTGAAACCGTAGGCTGCATCTGAGTACAATACCCCAGGGTTTATTGCAACATCAGCAAACTAAACAGGAAAACAAAGATGGCGTTTTTGTTTTTTAATTTTGAAAATGCATCACAAACCAAGGAATTTGTTCAATAACGTAAGTTTAGCAATTTAGCTAATAATTTTTTTTGCTGCGATGAGATGTTAAATAAAATGCAACTGTAAGCACTGATACTGGAGCTAAACCAAAGTTATTTATGTTTTTTGTTTATTTACATACAATGTTTTTTAATAATGCTATATTTAGTGACATTATGCCACAAAAAGACACATTCCAACAGAGGGCATGTGACATAAAACATAACACCATGAGGGCAACACATGGTCATGCAAACATATGTCATGTGAAGACTAGACTGTCTCCTTTCACAGCTGTTTTATTCAGCCTGTGAAGGGTGTGGCCTATGGGGGTTGCAACCCCTGAATTGAAACACAGCTCATAGCACAGACTGTGTGTCATGAACGGTACATAAAAAAACACATTTTGGCATTATATCGGTAAAAGTGATTGAAACATGTCTTTAAATGTCAGCTGGCTGGGGTGGCCATCTTAAGCTGTAATGACTCTGAAAGTTATTGAATTGTAGATATCAACCCTGATTACTTTCTACAAGTATTAAAATTTGTCCACTGATTCATGTTTTGTTTTTACTAACGCTACAAGCATTCCCACTTTCTGAAGTGGGCGATATAAAGTAACAAAGGATCTGTGCACCTCCCACTCTGGCTTTTGATCCATGTATTTGGGGGCTTTCTGATGCTATTACTTCTCACTTCCCTCACAAAATGAAAACAGAGGTGTGCACGTACATGTGCACGTGAGAGCAGAAAGAGAAAAGATGGAGGACTTAATCAAGCTGGATGCTGGCGGGAGGCACCAGCAGGTAATAAAAACACAAAGACCCCCTGTAATCCCTCCATGCGCCACGCCCTCTCATGACTTCATGCACATCATTCACATGCCCAATAACCTTGTCCCCTCGCAGAAGACTTTGATTAGAACAATAAAACAAAAACCCATGATTACAAACTATAACACAACTCAAAGCAGGCAGCCAATCACACAAATGCACGCAGAGGCCCCCCCCACCCCCATAGGGGGCAGCTGAGCCGAGCTGCA